CGTCCAGCCCTTGACACTTGGCCAACAAGATGAAAAAGACAACCAGCTTAAAATACCACAGGGTATTGCTGCAGACTCACAAGGTCGCATCATTGTTGGCGATGAATGGGATTGCAATGTTAAAGTTTACGATAGCTTTGGCAAGTTCCAGTACTCATTTCCGTGTCCTCCGAGTGGCGATCCCAACATAGTCTCAAGCATCGCCGATATAGCTACCGATGACAGTGACAACGCCTATATCTTGATTGAGGTGGAGAAGTCGACGATGGCGTACTACCAAGTGTATGCGTTTACGAAGCAGGCGGTGTTACAATGCTTTTCTCTCAAAGAAGAGCCCAGAAAAGTCTTAAGGATGACATTAAACAAAGAAAACGAAGTTCTCGTGATAGCCGACGTTTTGGACCAAAGCTATACCAAGAGCATTGTGGAGGTTTACAACAAAGCAGGGCAGTTCCTGCACAGCTTCGGAGAACAACATTTGAAATGTTCACAAGATTTGACTGTAGCTGGAGATGGCCGTATTCTTGTCCTGGACAAAGACGATGATTGCTCTCTTACCATTCACGTCTTTCTCCCAAATGGAAAACATTCATTCCAGTTTAACGTAGATAAACAAGAAGAACCTTGTAACCAAAGATCAAGGCCCTCCATTGCTTGTTACCAGGCACTTAATAATGTAGTTGTGGCTGTACCTTGTAAGAATTCTATGGGAACGGGACACTGCGTAAAAATTACCGTTTACGCCTTAAAAGATGACAGACATGAATCTGTTCGCAGCATTGAACTCGCCGCAAATGAACAGGTTTCTACCCGAGGAATCACAGTCACCTTTAAGGGACACGTCGCAGTCGCTATACTTGATAGGAGCGAAGGTAACAGCAGAGCGATTTTTGTGTAGAACAAGGCTGTGGTATCGCATCAAATCGATGTGTTTACGTTTGCTAATGACTATGGCAATTCTTCTTTTAAAAACATATTTTGAACATTTGAGCGCTGCAGCTGTTTAATCTAATTGTAGTCGTTGCATAGTTGTTAAAAAAAAGGAAAGTTTGATTTGTCACACAAACAGAAATGGAACCAAAGACAGATCAACAACAGGATCATTATTTAGTGAAAACCTACGACGTAGAGAATTCAAAAAGCAAAACCTCTTAAAAACTGTCCGGCTCAGGGATTTACTTAACTACTATCTAAAATTGATGAGCGAAGGAGTTGATAGATATTAATGTAAATTTGAGATTCAAATGTTTCGGTTAAGATCTAGATTAGATTATGATTTAAGATGACATAAGTTTTAAAACTTGTGTCTGGAATGTTTACAAACAACACATCTGTTCACAATGCTGCATAGTTTCACAAATATGTAGATTTTGTTCTAATAGGAAAGTTTAGGTCGCCAAAGGACTAACGTACCCGTAGTTATCAGACCTATACCAGCTTCACCGAACAGTTTTGAGTCTTGTCACTTGCTTAGTATGTAACATTTGGCTTATATCTTTAACTATTAAACAGAGCAAATCGTTGTTAGTGTAATGTACAGTGATAATTGTTAAGTTTATCTAAAATGTTCCTTCACCTTAATCAGATTATTAAGACAAACGCCTTCCATTGCACGGCGCTTTCGACCGTTGTTGATTTCGTTGTCCCTCCGTTCTGTAACTTCGAGTTTCCTTTTTTCGCCGAAACGCAGCTTTAGTAATGTTGCCTAAGATTCCTAGAAATGCGTGATGCAAAAGTAAACAACAACTTAGATTAAGATATGGCATGTTTGGGCCGTAATCGGTAACACTAAGCAAGCTTAGTAAATGGTCCAGTACATTGCAATACGAAGGCCAGAAATTTCCGGCCAAAAAAGAGCCAATTTGATCACAAGATCGGCAGAGAAATCCAGACTAATTTTGCACTTGAGGATGCAATCATCTGACTTTAATGAGCAAAACCAAACATATTAGTTGTCTCGCCGCCAACACAAAACGTTCAGACTTCCGCAAAGCGCGCGAATATGCTGAAAACGAAGCGCAACAGCTAGTAAATATATGCAAATAATGAGATTTGGTTTCATTGGGTTGATACAGAGAAAAAGACACACATAAAGAGTTTCATTTCAGAAATGGTACAGTTAAAGCTTAACCCACCTCCGAATCTATAGAATACTTTCCTTACAAGGTCCCGCTGAAGGATCGTTATGTTTTCCTCCAAAACCCTAATCATGTCAGCATCAGTTGTCAGCTTTTTCATGTTCTCCTCCAAAGTCCTAACCTTGTCAACATCATCACCGACGTTCCATTAATCTAGTGATAAACTTTTGCGAAAGTGTATGACTTTGGACAATACCTCAGGATTTTAAAGAAATATTTACTCTCGCTGTAAAACGGGAGTGAATCATTACTTATAAATAACTTGGAAAGTCACTTCTTGCCCAGCGCTTATATCTCAAGCCTTTTTTTCAAAGAAAGAATCTAAAATATTTATACGGAAGTCCACTTTTTCTCGTGTAGGTCACCCCACTGAGTCTTGGTCAATCATTCCAGCCATCTCACTGCAGTTTGGAGAATGATATTTAAACGTTTCACGACAAAATAAGAATTTCTATAGTTTCAAAACAGACAAACTTTACAAGATCCATGATAACTGTTTGAAATATAAGTAAAAGAAAAAAAAAGCAACAGAAAACAATAAAACCCTCACTCTTGTAGAGAAATCTTCCCGTGTGTTTCTATTAAACAGTAAACCGCCATACGATGACTCTTATTTTAACTGACGAGATTTTCACCTAACTAAAAACTTTCAATTTTGGACCATTCCCACTTTTTGCCGATTTTTCCGTAAACCATCACCAAACTTAGAAGAGGGGCAACAACTGAAATCAAACGTGCGATGATAACGGGGCCCAGATATCGCCAATTTGATCGCTTCACCGAATTCGATCTATCTTCCAACGTTTTGCAAATTGCGTTCGATGAATCAACTCCAGAGCTAACTTGGCCGATGTCCTCTTTTGAGTTATTTCTGATTTCTTTTAGATGCACCGGATCCTCGCCGGCCTCGTAACCTTCGTTTATCGCAACCTTTTCCAGGGGATAAGTGCATTTTTATGAAGTGCGCGCCAGTTTGAGCCGATGTAAAAAATGGGCTCTTACTTGGTGTAGAAGGGACAGTATACGTGACATTATTGTTTTCGATCTACTCCTCAGTGAGTATATATAAGTGCGTATTTGTAATGATTTTCTGATGTGATGCATTCTCAAATTGGCATCCTTAACAGCTTGGGGGCAAGAGTCGCAAGTGAGGAGACGCTTCAACGGTGCATGGACAGAAAATATATTTCTGTGTTTGATCCCGCTTTTTGAATATTTTGATCAGACTCCTTGACGTCAGAAAAAAAAAAGAAAAGCAAGGAAAAAAGAAAAAATTAAAAACAAAACAACGACAACAACAAAAGAAACAAATAAAACATTAGCAATTAGCAACAACAAACCACTTTAAACTGTCAGATCAAAGAAGCGGTTAGACTACTTGGTTGCAATGATGATATTCAGAAATTAACAAAACAACAAACAGCAATTGATATATCGGACAGAAGACAATCAATTCTAACGTTATCAAAGTTCTTTCCTGTATGTCGTTGAGACAAGACCACGAGCTGTCCAACTTGCTTGTACAGAGTATTAGATCAGTGTCAGTGTCTGAACAACGGCTCACCAACCCCTCCCCTAACCCAGCCCTAACCCATACTTGTTATCAGTGAGCTGTTTTTGTGCTAGGGGAGGGGTAGGTACTCAGTTGGTCAGATACTAACATAGATCCATATACGTTTTCACATCAAATGATTTCACTTACATCAAATCTTAGGTCCACTCGTATTATTAAATGTACAAACCGTTTTCTTAGAAGAAGTTATCGATTCAGGTCAGAGAAAGGCGATTGTGCGAATAAAGACAAAATGTAAGTGAGTAAAGAGGCCTACCTTATAGTGGCTGAGCCAATTTTCTGTCCAGCATGAGTTCGGCTGTAATGTAGAATTTTCCCATTACGAATAAAGAGAGACGCTTAGGCTTTCCAATCATAAAATGTGCATTCTTAGTTGTTTTGGGGAATTTACCATGTCTTGGACGCCTCTTTGATCGATTGACTCGTGGTGACCCAACAAACCTCGACGAGTATTGTTGTCTACAGCACGGAAGATCAGTTTTCGTATCATAAAATGTCAAACTACTAGAAAAGTAAGAGTAACACTTTAATCTTTTCTCCAAAATAAGAGAAAACATCTGCAGCATGGATATTACCGAATGTATTAAATTCCTCGGGTTTTGGAAATCCTCAGCTTTGCGTGGTAAGTTCCTGCTATACTTACTGTAATCAATTATGTGATTGGCAGATTCATTTCAATATACTCGGTGTGATTGGCTGATGTAACTGCCCGATTAGAAGTGCCCAATTACGACCGACCGTCTGGATACACTGAAAATGAAGGAGTTCCTACACCAATCACATTCGAGGAAACTACAATGATTTCAATTAATGCCAAAATTTGTCGCCACAATAAACACTCAGACGCCTCGTAACGTTCAAAATGAATTTATTTTTACTCCCTGTTTCTCTTATTCTACTGCTATCCTTATTGCGTATCAAAAAGAAAACCTATCATAACAGCATATTTGTAATAAGCAATAATATAATAGTTGGCAATTCAATAACTACTGTGGCTTTTCTATATTTTTTGAAATACTTAAGCGAAACAATTTGAATAAATCGAAAATGGTTAACATGAAAATGGATTTATTTGCATTCCCTGCTTCTCTTGTTCTGCTGCTAGACTTATTGCGTATTAAAAAAAACCAAAACCTTTCATAACAGCATATTTGTAAAAAGTAATAATATAATAGTTGGCGATTCAAAAGCTTCTGTGGCTTTTCTATACTCTTTGAAATACTATAGCGAAAAAACTTGAATAAATCGAAAACGGCTAACATGAAAAGTCTATGCGTTAGTATGTTCCAATCAAACACACGGAAAAATCATTAAATTTTCCTGTAACAACGCTAACGTCATCAAGATGACAATCAGGAACATATATCCCTTATGAAAAGAGCAACATGAGGACTGCACTGAGCGTTGAGTTAATACTGTCCTATGTCTTTAACATCCACTGCGGATCAAAGCTCGATTTCTTTGTGGAGCGGGGTGGGCGTGGTCTCATTCCCTGAACAGTGGCCTTCTCGGAATTAATTTATCTCGTAATTTAACACAGCAACAACGTCTGCGCGGTAAGGTCAAAGTGGATCTCGCTGTCTTGTGTCTTAAACAGCCATTACGAATCCAATCGATTTCGTTTAGGAGGAGCGGGAGGAGTGTGGGCTCATTCCCTGACCAGTGGCCTATTTGGCATCAATTAATCTCGTCATTTAACACAGTAACAACATCGTGGCGGTCAAGGTCAATGAAGACGTCTCTCAGAAAAGTTAAAGGCTTGTTCATTGTTTCGAATACGTTGAGGACGTGTTGCGTTGGTGACTCACGGTTACGGCTTTCCAGGAATTGTACATCTAAGTAAGATGCCCCCAAACGTTCAGCCAGATACCTCCAGTTTCCGGGCTTGGACTCGATGTCTAGCAGCTTCATTAATTTCATACGGACATCTTCTGGAATCGCTTTTCCTTTATGAGGACGTTGCCGCGGCCAAACTCCGTATTTAAAAGGATACCGACCATTTCCCTTCGAAAAAAAATGAGATCATTGAGGATCTTAAAGAATGTTGATTCAAGGGAGGAGGGCTTAAGCTAATATCAGCTAACATCAAACTTTGAAATCCCTTAAAGATTTTCCTGAGAACTCTTTTCTTAACAATTTACAACCCTAAACAGCTGCTTAGACCTAATCACTCATGAAATATGCACAGGGAACGCAAAAGTGGTCATCCTCGATAAATTTAAGGGCGTAGTCTTTTTTAAATCAAACAAAAAAACTTAATAAGAGGGCTTCGTTGAAGGGCAATTCATAAATTTGGGCCCACTAACCTTCATGAAGATGTGGAATCTCTTCATATATTCTTCCCAGTAAGCGGAATAATCTTCATTATCGTCGTTTTCGTCTAAAATGAAAGGAAAAACCGCGTTTCAGATCCTGTCGGGTTTTTTTTACCGGGAGCTGGGAAGAAGCTGAATAGATGTGAATGCTACCAAAAAAATGTTAGTGCCAATCGGAACGCATAATACTTTAACCTCCCCCCCCCCCCCGGGCAACCTACGGATAGTTGACCGTCGTCTGTACCCGGGTGGTGGGGAATTTGAACCTTGCCTCGGTGAAGTCTTTCCAGCGAAATATCTATGTCTTAAAAGGTATAGAGTCCGCTTTCGTGACCGAATGGCTTAGAGAGACGATTTTAATTTCGTAGAATGATGCTTACAAGCAGGAAACCCAACAGCAGCACCAAAAACCAATACTTAACTTAACAACATTCGCTGATCACACAAATTGTTTACTGTAGGACGGGGCATTTGAACGCAATTTTGGTTGGAATTTGGACGATCCAATCTTAAAAAGTTCAAATACACGAGGGATTGATGTTGAAGCTTCGAATGGATCCACGCATAGGTCTTATGTTCATAAACGAGGTAAAACAGCAGCAATCACTTAACGTGTTTGGGATATAAGATACCTGTCTTACACTGTCGTATATGAAATATCTCAGCCTCAATAAGACTCTCGTTAAGATAGGCGATATTTCAAGATAGATAAATTTTGATACCTCGTGTTGAGCATTAATAAGTGGTCCAGCCGTTGAAAGATTTTGGTTTCAGAAAAGTAGTTAAAACCGACGGGTCTCATGGCGGGAGGGGGAGGGAGAAGACTTCGACTTCGTAGCTCGACATTCTCACTAGATTGCGCCTAACAAAACTTAAGGTGTAATATTTGCAGTTCTTCCCATGACAGGATGAAAGACAATGAACATCTCAATCATTTCACGATGGTCTCTCGCCGACGCATGATTAAAAAAAACAAAACAAAACAAATTAAAACTTTTTCCTACAGAAATATCTTAATAAATGTGAACAGCACCTCACGAGTAACTTAGAGGAAACTTTTTTCTTTAAAGGGAGTTGCCAAAAGAGCCGCTAAATTTGCGAAGCGCACAAAATGCGAAATTACGATGCCTTGAGTACAACAAGATGACATGACCCATTCCGCGAAATGATAGAATGGAGGAACGGTAGAACGGTGGAATGGCGGAAAGTCTTAAAACACAGAATGACGGAATATCCTGAAACATGGAATGCCTTGTTGAAACTTAAGTCTGCCAAAAATGGAATTGCAATATCTTTTTCATGATTAACAGAAAAAATTAAAAGCAGCATTTCTACTGTTATCACTATTACTACTATTAATATGATTAATTTTTACTATTTCATTCTTGGTTACACGTCAATTAGTCACTAAACTCTTGAATCACAGGTTTTCTGTTTTGAATGTGAATACAAATCTTCAGCAACACTACCTTCTAACGTTATTTTACAGCCTTTGGTTTTTTCAGTGCTATAAAAATTGTGCCATATCAGTAGTCACATGCAGTCTCAGACCACCTATTTTCAGGTTTTAATAGGAATAATGAAGGAGTTGCAAGTAATCGGATCCTTGCGTTTGCGCAAAGATTTCTGGGATCGCCACTGAGCAAACATTGCAACTGTTAAATCAGAAATGGGTGCGGGTATTATCGATACAAGGGTTGCACGAAATTTTGTTCAAACAACCGTGAAATATGTAGTAAAATTTAGCGGTTACCTTTTCTCCATGCGCAAGAATTATGAAATTCACAAATATCAGTTATAATTTGCCAAGAAATAACTCAATGAGGCATTTTCTGTTTTATTTACAAGTGTTACCAGTGCTATCTTTTCTCTTAGCTTGGTAAAACAAGAAAAAAAAAAGAACGCTACAACAGCTACCTCGAGGAAGCAGGAAATTAAAATGATATAATCGTGATACATGAAGTGATTAAACACCTACATTGCCTCTTTGTTGTGATCAATGAGAACGAAAGCGCTGATTGTCGGTTCAAAACTGAACCTTTTCTTATGCGATGATTAAAAGGTACAAATGGGTCACTTTTTAACTTAAGACCAACATCTCGGTTAAACAATTTCCATCTCCGCTGACGACGACTTCTCTCCTTTGAGGAAGTATATTTCAATTTCCGAGATAGTAATTTGTTTATGCAAGAATACAACTAAAAAGACTTAAGTGAGTTAGTTCCTTGTGATTTATGGCTACTTTTGTAATATGTCAAGACCATTACGCGATGACGATTCCACAATAGACCTCACGCAGGGAGAGAAATCGGTATATTTTATAAGATATTTCGTGCTAATGCTAACGAGAACTTTCTCTTCCCTCGTATCAACATTATCTTAATCTATTTATGATAACACTGCGGCGAAAAAAGCGTTGACCTCTCTACAATAACGTTTTTTTGGACGTCGAAACAATCCTTCGCCATATATTTTCTTCTAACGTGTAATGTTTGCCCCGTGGCGATCCCAGAAATCTTTGCGCAAACACAAGGATCTGATTACTGGCAACTCATTCATTGGTTATAATAAAAGTTTAGATCTAATCTTTTTATCTGCACTAGAAGTCAATCCACAACAGGAAAAGTAGTTACGCAGTGTTTTCGTTTATACTAAAATCAAATATGCGTAGTTTCTAGTTTAGCCAAATTGCTAATTATGGCAAAAAGCCAATGTTTTTTTGGTTAAAATGAACGATTTACCAGTTAGAGACCAGGAAAGCAGTGCTAGTGAAATATTTGAGAACATTCGGTCAACATTACTATGGAAGTGTCAGTTTAACTCTTTACATACCAACATCCATACTCTACATATTATGATGTGGTCTGATTACAGTATTACTGCAAGAAGAAATTAAATGCTGATCACATGTAAGGTTTATAGGGTTAACCTTACATGGCTTTTCGTCCCATTTTTCTAAATGAGCATGGTACCCTGGAATTTCAGTGCTAGAAGTTACTGGCGTTTTACTACCCCGTACTTAGATTTTGTAAGATGTTCTATAGTGTTGAGTCAAGCTTTTTTGAATTTCTGTTATACCTCTAGAAAATAATAGGACAGAGAGGGAGGCTTCTAATCCAGGTCTTGGGATATCTTTTCTCACAATCTTTCGGACGAGAATGTGTTTCCTGGAAAGTCCTCACTAATTTAATTCAACATGTATCTGATCTTCTGAAGTACCGACCACTTTTAGCTTTCCACTCAGTGACATAGTTTTTAGTTAACAGGCGGTTAGGGCGTTTTTTTCCTCAGTAGATAGAGCAGCGTTAAAAGCAAAGCTAAGGATTACTCGTGTAAACCCTCCAATAACTTTTCGACTCTGGTCTTCGACGTATCTTGGCCAACGCCCCGATTATCTGTCAGTCCTCCTATTTTCTCTTGGTTATACTTGTTCAGCCACGTTCGCGCAACTTAATAGCACTATAGCACGCGTGTAACGGCATCCTCTGTGATAACTTATCCCTATACAATCTTTTAACCAAGATATCTAATATAACATAACCTGCTTTCAGTTATGTGCTTTCTGCCTCGAAAACCGAGCCAGTTATGAATAATAGAGACGACTTACCTCGCTACAAGAGTTGTTCCTTTGTATCGTGTGGGTTTCTTAAGTTGATATAGGGAAGTTTAGCTCAGTTTTGCTCATGTAGTCTACTTTGCCCTCTATATAATATAAAGACCCATAACCGTGAATTTTTCCCTTCAAACGTAGTTCATGCCTCACTCGACTCACTGACTTTTTCACAAGGTAAGTTCAAATAAGATCTTCTCCATTTATGCCAGGCTATTGAAAATAGTTCTTTGAGAGTCGTCACTTGAATGGCACCATACTCCCTGGTGGTTACTCTTGAATTTAAGATTGGGCACTAAGCAATATCTACTCCACAGGGGATCTCCATGCATCGTAATCAATAATGTAGAAATATGCCCCATCACATACTCTCTTGGTGATTAACCCTTTACACCCTAATGTCATTATACATATTCTCCATACTGTTCTTTATACATATCCTAAGGTGCTGACAAGGAGAATTTGTTTACGGACCAAAAGCTTTTTTGTTGGTGATCATTTCCTTCATTCTTATGACCTTAGTGTTTGATTCAGGGGTGATATTGTAGGGAGAAATTAGATGCTGGTCAGGGTTTAAAGGGTTAATTCAGGCTACTAGATCGATATGGCGTACTTGGCAATAATTCCGCTACCATAGCCTGCAATGAATATTGACAGAAGCTTATAAGGTTCTGACATGATTGCTATGATGGTAACGTAATTAGTAGCCTGCAGTGCAAGCGTCTTATTGGTGCGAGCAAACGCTATTGGCTCGCGATCGTTTATCCGACCAGCCATGTTTAATTTGGAGTTAGAGTGGACGGTAGGAGTAGGGGTCGGCTGCTTGTTACAAATCTTTCTGCCCTGCCTTCCGCTACCATTTTTGTTGAGAAGATACTGCGCACTCGCTCGCCAAATTACGCCTGCTCTGCAGGCTACGCAATTAGTAGCATTGCTGTAAGTATTGTATCGTAAATTGTATTGTCCACTTTGTAAAAATTGTTCCTTGAGACTGGAATTGGGAAAAAGAAAAAAACACTTGAGTTCCGCAAAAAGTGCAATATTTAAAGTAACGAAACGTTACGTTGTAGTTTTATAGCTGGTAACGCAACGCTATCAGTAGTAGTGTAACACACGTATGATAACAAGAAGTATTGTAAGGTACAACAATTATTAGCACTGCTGTAAGTAACCTATGCTGTAAGTTCTGTGTTGTAGATTGTAGTATTTTTTGTCTACATTGTAAACAGTTTCTGTAATCAAAATGAAAAATTGAAAAAAAAAAAACAGGAATACCATAGTTGAACTTCCCAGCGAAGAGAAAAGGAAACCATTTTTCAGATCTATGTACTTCGTTCTAGCCAAGAGAAAATATAGTTGGTATTCTCTTGGTTCTAGTAAAACATATGGATATTCATTCATTGATCCCCCAGTGAGACCCATTCTGACTGAGCATAGCATATAATCTATCAGTTAAGAAGCACAGCAGATTTCGTTGCAAGTTTGTTCTCTTTGCTCTTTTTTCCATGACACTGAGCATTTGATCAGAAGATATGTGCCAGCAGTTTGGATGGTAGCATTTTGATTAGACTTGACACGTGACTGTGAAATGGCTGAATAGTTGGTAAAAAATGACTCTACATGTCCCAATCAACTCAGCACAGCAACCAAACTTATTTGAATATATACTGCAACATGCAACTGTTCACCACTAATACTATTCCCCTGCCCCACCCACCCCAAAATGAGCATTCCCAAATTTTATTTTGGATAGCAAGTTGTCCCCGTTTTAGAAGAGCAAATTAGTCAATACCAATTTTAACAACTGTCTAATTTAAGAAAATAAACGACACTTTTTAAAAACATGTTTTGACAGTTCTTCTGTCATCTTCAGTTCTGATTTATACAAAGTTGAATTTAAAGTGTATAACAAAATGCTGACGGGACAAAAAAAACAATAGTAACAGAACAATGTATGCAATTACAAGGAAACCTCTCTGCATTTACCCACAGTTTGCATGAGCACTTGGTCAGTGATAGGACCTCTCACATTTTCAGACCTTTACAAAATTCTCCACAATGTTGCACTCTATGTTCTGCTGAGTGTTTTAGCATCTTGGATCATGCTTCCACAACTTTCCAACTTTCAACAACCAACCAACAAGAAGCTATCCCCATTCAATGGGAGCAACCTACACTTAATCAACAACTTTATCCTGCTAATTTAAAACTTTCCTTGTAATTGCATGTTTTTAAAAAGTGTTGTTTATTTTCTTAACTGTTAATTAATATATCTCCCTCTTCCATCCCATGGTATTTTTTCTTTTCATTTCTTTTCATCACTCTTTTTCTTATTTTCTCTATTTTCTTTTTTTTTTCATTTTCTCTCATCTCTTTTTGTTCTTCTCTGTTTTATTTTCACCCTTTTCTTTTTTCTCTATTTTTCTTTCATTTCCTCTTTTCTTATTTCTCTTTGTTTTTTCTTTCTTTTTCTCTTTTACTTTTATTTTCCCATCTCTCTCTTTTCTTTTTTTCATTTTCTCTTTTGTTTTCAATTTTTCTCTTCTTTTTCTCTCTCTTTTCTTTTTGTGACTTCATCTTTTTTGTTTTGTTTTATCTGTTATATTTACAATAACATCATACAACCTATGAAGCTCCTACTAGGTATGTTCTGTAATACACTATTGCATGATACTTTTACACTTGTCACTGGAAACCCCAGTCCCAGGGACACACAATCACTAGCCATTTCATGAACAGTTGAGCATGTTCACTATGTAATATTTAGTCAGTGAGTTTTTAGTTTGCACAAGGCATCTTTGATGTCAACTTGATTGATTGTTCTATATCAAATCATTTTTATATATGCATTTGGGTATGTGCAATTTGGCAGTCTTAACTTTTTGAGGTGAGGAGGAGCCATAGGAAAAAGAAACCAGAATAATGCTCTACATACCATACTTAGTGGATAATTTTCCACCAAGCCACCCACCAAATGGAGATTATGCCTCACATTTAAGGACAAAGTCTTTTAAAAATGTGTCTTTGTGAAACTTCAGCATGCCTCATGTTGCCCCCCCCTCACCTTGCAGGAAGTAGGTTTGGTGGTTGCCAGTGACAAGTGCATTGCAAAATACTAAAACTGATAGAAGTTTACTCACTATCCTTAACCCTTTAACTCCAAAGATCTCATTAGTAATTCTCTTTACTGTCTTCCAAACAATTCTCATTATGTTAGTTTGGAGAATTTGATATCAGATCAATTAGTAATCCCATAATTGACATTTTTCTTTATTCTCATCACTTGTGTGCATGATGTTGTATGGATGAAATAGGGAGAAATTCTGGCCTGGTCACTCACTGGCCACTCACTGGCCTGGTCACTCATGGGAGTTAAAGGGTTAAAAATAAAGGGAAAATATTTAAATTAATGATAGGTCCACTAGATAATAACGATAATAACAAGGCATAATGTGCAACTACAATGTGTACAAATGATGCATAAGGCCCAATTACACAGGCATGATGCATAAAATGTTCAATTACATTGTCCAGGAACGAGTATGATGTATATTTTGTCCTATTAATGCTGGGGAGATTAAAATCAAAATAAAAGAAATTAAAGATGGAAATTCTAAATACCAAAGGAACCAAACTGAATGGGATTTAATGTAAAAAGTGAATATAATTATTTTTATGTTCAATTTATGCATGTTTGAGCTCTGAATCATGATACAAAGATATTGCAATGATAATGTATATCGAAAACTATGTAAAGGAATTCTCTCCTAAATTTGACTGTCTGGTTATTTTTCAGGGCTTACTGTAGTTGCGAACCGAAACCAAAATTAACTTTTGCAAATTATCTGTGCTGGCAAAGATGCCAGTTTCATTCAGGATAAGATTATAGCAACGAAATAGTTCACGAACGGTTGGCTTTGAGCGGCTGTAAAAAATACCAGTTTTATTCATGATTATCTTTATTAACGAAATAGCCCACGAACGAACGGCTTTAAGGGACTGTAAAATAGCCAGTTTCATCCATGATCATTTTAAGTAACGAAATAGCTAACGCAGGAATGGCTTCGAGCGACTGAAAAAAATACCAGTTTCATTCATGATTATTTTAAGTAACGGCATAGCCCACGAACGAATGGCTTCGAGTGATTGTAAAAATGCCAGTTGGTCGGGTACTTTTGCGATGTCTTTTATTTCTCTAGTGACCAAGACAAAATTTGTCAACGAAAAATGTGCTGGATACAAGTAACGGTCTTCCTTTTGCGCGCCAAAATCTTAATTTTCGTTTCACAAGATAGACACTGAAATGAGAAACTCTAACAAACGGTTCGATCTTTCTCAAAATGGTTACAAAAAGGGCTCTCTTTTAAAAAAATATCAATTTTTTTTCGTTTTCGTTTGTTTTTGTCCTTTTATTTACCCTAGTGTTTCACAACGGAATTATCAGTGGCACCAAAGACGCCGAGCCATGTTTTGTTTGATTAAGAAATTAAAACGATGTTCCTACTACTTACGAGTTTTCGACATCTTTATCGTAGTTCATGAAGATTCACTTAAGTTTGGTGACACTTAAAACTTGTAGAAAACGACATTTACGAAAACATGTAGAAAAATCAGTAAAATTCAACTTATAATTTACGACTAATAGCTAAATTTGTTCACTTTCGATCGAAGTTCACAGGCTAAAAAATACCAGTAAAATTAAAAACAACTTACCTAGATTTCGAAGATCTTTATAAGGCCTCTTTGATATACCAAGGAGGCTGGAAAACCAACGAGAGAACGTAGAGAAGGAAATTTTAAGCAAGGAAGTCATCATCAAAGATCTTCTCAAAGAAGCTTGGCAAAACTGAAATACCCGCGCGACTCAAAAGGGAGCCAATCAGAACAAGTTGAGTAGGTCATATGATGATTACGTATTAGGGTGCGGTAAAAGCCGTATCAGATGAACAAACAGTCTTGCTGGTCAGCAGTTCAACTTAACACTGTAAGGAACGTTGAATAAGCTAAATGTCTAGACATGACTCGCAAAGTTTCGCTTGTTGCCTTTTGTTATAGTTATAATCTCTACTGCT